CTTGTGGACGGACAACCGTACGAGCCGAAGCACAGAGAGCCTCAGAGGAGCGAAAGTATGGAGACATGAAGGCCTTTGAATGCCAGCTCCCCCGGCAACGTGCGACGCATGTCACTTGACAGTGAACTTAAAGGCATCATTTTATTTGCTTTTGCGAGTGGTAACTGGGTGAATCCATTTTGATTTGGCTGTGAACCTGTAGTAGGTCACTTGTGTGTCAGGTCTGTGTTTGTAAGTGGGTTCTCTCCTCTTGAGGTGCCTTGAACGTGTTGACGCAGTGAGGACGTGTCCAGTTTCAGCTGCTCGACCATTCTTTGCTACCCTTCAGTGACCAGACATGATGCCACAGCAACTTATGGCTGTGGGGCACGAAGGCTGGTGTGATTGCGGTCATCCTGAATGAATATTTTGGTAATGCTCTACCAGCCCAAACATTTTTTTAAATTCATGTTTGTTTTGAGTTTTTTAAAGGTTCCCACTTTGGGGCCCTTTTAAGAAGAAAGAGCCACTTATTCTCGAGCAGGACGGTTTCCAAGTTAAAAACACAGATAAAGCGGTCCTCTGTTTTAAATTCTTTCTTGGTTTTGCGTTAGGCTCTGTGAACTTTCAAGGTAAGCGTTTGCCTCGGTTTCTTCAGAGACCGAGGTAAAGTAAAAACCAGCTTGGTGCGTTTTAGTCTCCTTTGAGCGAAGGGAGGTGTTGTGAAACGTGAAGAGGAAGAAGATAACCACGTCGGTCGAGTCGCACACTGCCGTTGCCTGTCGGCAAATATCCTCAACTGAACTTTTACTGCAGAGCAACCTCAATGTAATCTTACCACATGCCTCATCACTAATCCCACAAAATGCCTTGAAATAAAGTTAAAAGTTTCCCCAGCAGCTTAAAGCGTTGTGAACGCTCTTGGTACATAATATATTTTATTTAAAACCTGCACTGAGGACAATTGTCAGATAAACACAAACACGTCTCTGCTGCTGTGTTAAGAAGCAGAGGTCCGGCGCACACATGACATAAAAGCGTTAACAGGAGACCTTTGGCGAGACAAATCCTCAGGCGATTGCTGCGTCCGTATCGATTAAAAAAAAAAAAAAAAACCTTATCAAAGCTGTGCAGGTGTGTTGTGGAAATTTCTCCCCGGCGGGCTTAGAGATAGCTTATCGGACCACCGAGCTGGCTAATTTGTTACATTTAATCCTCACATTCTACGTAGCACCGATCTAATCATCATCATCATCATCATCAGATGGATCTTGTCTAGTCTCGGGTTATCTGAGGGGCTGAATCTGAATAACACAGATAGAGATTTGTAAAGTGTGCATGGGTTTAATTGTTTTGTCTGTTTCCTGCAGCTGCTGCTGAAGAAAAAAAAATCTACTTGTCAATCTACCCAGGCCGGGTAGATTGACAAGTACAGATCCTATCCTGCTGCTCTTTGCTGCCGCTCCTTTCCTTGTCGTCGGGACTTTTATTGGTAGATAACTGCAGCTTAATTAAGATAATAAGGAAATCCATTCAGACTGCTGCCAAAAGAAAAAAGAAAAAAGAAACCTTCCCTCTCCTTCTAAAATCAGACTCATCATTTGGCGGTTTGATTTAAAAGCATGTGGATGTAAATATTTTAAATCTGTGCACAAGTTAGCTCTTTTTTTTTTTTCTCTCTCCGTCAGACGGGATTCTCTGTTATTATCTAGGTCCCCACTCCCTCTGGACTTTCATCTTTAAAAGTGCTGCCGCTGTTCGTCTCTCTATCTCTTCTCCGTCATCTCTCTCATTGTTCTGAGCTGGAGGAAGGAGAGAAAAATCTGCCCTTTCTGGAGCGCACAAGGCAATTAAAGAGGCAGGGAGGAGCAGGGGAAGTAGCAGGACACGTGAAGATGGGCTGATTGAAAACTGTTTCCTGCTTTCTTTCCTTTTCTAGACGCGTGCAGAAGTCACTCTAATCGGCATAAACTTGGCAGCTTTTCAAGCGCAGGACAAACCCTTTTTTTTTTAAATTGTTAGTTTAGATTTAAAGTTCAGTGGGGAATATTTTACCTATGATTTAATGTCTGTTTTTTGTTCTTGTTGTTTTCTTCTGTTTCACAATGTCAAGAATAAAAACTCAAAGTAGAAGTGTGCAAAATATCGTTTTGGTGTCGATCCGATACCAAGTGAATACAACACCACTGTCAATGATACCGATACTGATACCGATACTAAAACTGTGTATTCTTGTTTGATGTCTTATCAAACTCCTGATCGTTTATGTGTTCTTGTGTTTTTTTTTCCTTTTAAAATGAATTTGGAATATGGAGAAAGTTTACATGTGTCTGCAAAAATACTTAAATAACACATTAAAACCATAAACAGAGAAAACAGAAAAACTGAACTTTTGAAAAACAAACTATTTGTGTCCTTCTTTATCATTTGAGAACAAATCAAAGCAAAATCTTTTCTTTTTTTTTTAGGTGGAGTTGAGAAACTACAATACTAAAAAAAAAAGAAAAAGAAAATTCAAGAGGGAATCTGAAATGAAAGCATAGATCCTATAGTGATACCAACTTAATATCGATTTTATTTATACTTTGGATCGAGCCGCCCATCTCTAATGCAAATTATCTTTATAGTCGCCTTCCTATAGTGTGAATTCTTGCCTCTTTAGATTTATTCCCATATTTATCACTCTTTTTGTGGTTTTTCTTTTTGCAGCATAGACGTCATAGAAACCATAGACAGAGTTGTTACCTGTGAATAGCTCCGTAATCCATGGGGTCATTATTTCATTTCGTTACTTTTAGTAAATGCCTTGTTAGCTTGTCTGTCGTACAGCAGCAGTAGACCTCAGTCGAGGAACAATCTGTGGAAGGCAAGAGGAGAAAAAGCTCCAAATAAGACCACATTTCAAAAAGACGAAACTAAGCATCAATGGTACTCAGTTTAACATCAAAAACCAAACTGCTGAGTTTCCTATTATTTTAGTGGACATGTAAAGGAATCCATGCTGAAATAATCTATCAGTGTCTTAAAGAAAAAACACTCTGCATGCCCTTTAAAAGGCTGAGTGTTGTTGATCGACATGAACCTTTGATGCCACCGCCGTGTGAGATCTCACAGCTTTTAAGCACATGTTTTGCAGCTGGGAGGAGAATTTGAGTTGGTGTTTGGTGCATTAAGTTTTTTGTAGAGAATTTTTCAAAATGCTTCCGTTTGGCTGGAGGGTTTTCCCCCCTCTCCTTCCTTCCATGGTCTTTGTTAAGTTAAATTTTTTTAGCTTCTGATGCCGAATTGTGTTGCGAATGCAGAAAGGTTTTCCATCTATGACTCATCCATGAAAGTCGGTATTTTTCTGCAGCGCACAGCGGTGAACTCCCACTGCAGAGACTCTGAAAGTCTTCCGCAGTCAAATTAGAAAGGTTTGTGATTTCCAGCTCCAGGAACGGCTGACCCAGAAAACGTTCTCCGTCCTCCTGACCTCGTCTTGACCTTCGACTTTTAACTGTCGACTGAGAGATCTCTCAGACTCGTTACAAGTTCACGAGGCGACGTTGTCATCTTTGCTTGTTTGCAGAGTCAAACAAGAACCTGCTAAGGGAATTTAATTGCACCTTTTATAGTAACTTTTTGTAAATGTGTCCAAATACAAACCTTGAAAAAAAAAAGAGGCTTGTATTTTGAGCAAAACATACTGGTAGGTTTGAGTGTCCTGTCCTAAACCTAATTGTTTTTAGAGTCCAGATACTCACCATCCAATCTGACTGAGAATAAATCAGCTTGCAAAGGAGAACGGACAAAAACGTCAGTCTGTGGATGTGAAGGTGCCTTAGGGAAAGTAGCTGTAATCTCTTCTTATAGACAAAAAAAAAAGAGAGATCTGCTTTTATGTAACATGTAATTATGTGTTGTATGGCCATCTTTAGTGATGAATCTTGAAGCAGAATGACACAGTTTCTTGGATGGAGTGGGCAGCTCAGCTGTGAAAGACATCGCCATCATCCAGAGCAAAGACCATCAATGCTGCTATAATTCTTCTGCTTGTGAAAAGTGGGAAGCTTGAGTTATAAAAAGAATCCAATTTCTGACTCAGTTTAGAAAGCAAAGAGCTAAACGTTTACCTGTCGCCCTCGAAATGCTGTGCATGTAAGTCAGTGAGGATGCTGTCAGGAAAGTTAAGGGGTTAAAGTGCAATTTTGTATGTACACCCTCCTACCTGCATATTTGCACTTCAATCAATTCAAACAAAAAAAAAAGTTTCCCTTTTGATTTATTTCAGTAGTAAATGACGAGCAAAGTCTTTACAAGAGCAGAACGGCGTAAAGACGTATTGACTCCGGCATTCTGATCGGTTTCTCCTGATAAGCTCTTCGGAAACACTTTTAATCCCATAATCCTGTTTGTCTGGCTGTTGTAACCTTTACGCGCCCAGCGCCATCCCCTCCAGCCTCCAAATGAACTCTTTACCGTGCGCAGTGTTTTGTTTCGTGCCAATAATTCTGCGTCTTTTGTTTGGTCAGCCGTCAGTCAGGCCGATTATCATATTCCTCATTACGAGGGCAGATGTCTTGTCAGAGAAAACATTTGTCTGCTTGTCTCTCCGCAGCGGCGGAGTCATTTGTTGGTGTTTATTGTTGGACGAGTGAGGGAGGGCCGGTGTCACCTTTCCTTGAATGCATGCGTCGGTGTGTGCGGCATAGTAATGTTCTGTTCCGGCGTCCTGCACGCCAAAGACTTTTTTTCTTTCTTTCTTATTATTATTACTCAGAGGAAATATGTTAGCGTCTTTTGGGATCCTTTATCACGAAGGTTATCGACGCCTTGTCGAAGGCTGCGTCTGTGTGGATGTTATTGATGGTCGCCCGGCGTTTCCTCCAAAGCAATTACATTTTTGTGTCCTTTTTTGTTTCCCCCTTTTCTGACACTCTGCCCTTCATCCTCCACCGTATGCACTCATTATCCTCAGCCCTGACGTCCTTTCGTGCGATGTCCCCTCCTAATTAATTCCCCCATCTCACCTCCACTTCCAGATGAGGGCCAGACGATTTGCTACAACCCTCCGGAGCTGGCGGGCCAGCGGTTGGCGGAGGTCGGCATGCAGCTGCGGGCGGACTGCCACCAGGGCCTGGGCTACTGGGACTACCTCTTCTTCATCGCCATCGGCTTCGTCATCTTCTCGGCCGGCACGGTGTCGGCCTGGGTGATGGGCGTGCTCATGGTGCTGTACGAGCGCTACAGCAAGCGGAAGAGCGAGGAGCTGGACAGCGAGGACGAGGACGAGAGGGGGCCGATGAACGGGAGCGGCGGAGGAGGGAACCAGGGGAACGGGGACCTGAGCAAACCCAACATGCAGGTGTGACGGGCCGCTGCGGGGAGGCGTCCGGAAACGCTGCGTGAAGGGAAGACGGACAAGAAAACGGAGGAGGGACGAGCCTCCGCCGTGAAACTGAGATCTGCTTGTCTCTTCTTGTTGCAGATTTAGATATCGCAAATGCTCTTTAAACGTAACGAAAAGTGTGTGTTTAAGCGTGTGTGCGTGTGCGTGTGTGTGTGTGTGTGAGAGAGAGAAACAATCAGAGACAGCAATAAGGATGCCTTCGAGCTAGGAGAACAGATTGACCTCTGAGATTATTGAGAGCAATAACCCTGCACATACAACCACAAGTTCCTCCATACGATGAAAAGTGCTCTTTACCAACACCTTGTGTGAGTGGCACATTCAAGCACACACGTACACTTCATTCACAAAATAAAGGTAAAATGGGGGGAGGTTCACAAAAAGAAAAAATAAAGACCGATGCCTTAAATCTGCCACAGTGGAAACAGGGAAACTTGTGTATATCAGTGTTTAAACGGTATCTTCACCTGAAATAGTCAACCTTAGCTGTTTCTGTGTTCAGGACGAAATCTGTCCACATAGAGCAAAAACTCATTTTGGGGGTTACATAATTAAATAGATAGAAAACACAGTAGGCTGATTGTACGTAAAACAAGTGACTCACAACTCACTGAAACACAAACAACACGGGAAGTTCAGGGACCTGCCGTCCAAAAGTCAACGCGTTCTGCTCTTTATTTGAGGCTGCTGAGATCGAAGTGTTATCAGAAACTCTCCGTGGGGATCTTCGAAATATTTCAAACTGTGAACCTTTCATGGGAAATCACGAGGATGAACTGGAAATGGGGGTTCATTTAAGGAAACCACATCGTATACGGGCATGAATATATATATTTTTTGTAACTAAATTCCTATTAATTCCCATGAAATGTTTCTAAGTTTGATAACCGATGGAGTTTTGAGTCTGTATTCGTTCAATTTTTTTGTTGTTGTTCTTTTTAGCTAAAAGTACTATTGAAGATGATCTGCTTAATTGGTTGTGTTGCCTTTTTGACTGACAGCTGGTTAGAGGCAAAAAAACAAGCAACTGATGCAGTCTTCACACACAAGGGATATTAGCAGAATTAACTGTGTGACATTTTTTTGAATGTTAAAATATCTTGGACTCTAAAAAGCTTTGCCAGTTTCTAACAAAGCAGCTTGACACCACTTAAAACCCTCATTTTGGGCTGATCTTCCAACGTGCTTGAGCTTCTTAGAGTGAAGCTTCAGTGCTCTTCACAGCGAGGCATGATCACAGGCTCCCGCTTGTTGCCGAGTTTCGAGAAATTTAGGCTTAGGTCGCGCTGCGCAGCGTCACAAATTGTACGTGACTTGAACATGTCACCTTGTTTGAGCTGAACGTTATAAAAATCTTAATCTGGCTCCTGCGGGATTTGCTAATGCGGCAGAATCACAGTGGATGCAAGAGCAACACCCCGGCAAGTTTTGAGCATTAGTCTGCCTTACTTGGAGTAAACAGGACAACGTTGGTTGCAGCAGCAGTAACACTGCACCGTTTTCTTTGACAATGACAGAATGCTGGTTTCTTCTCACAAGATTTTCTTTTGCAATGAAAGATTGTTGGTCTAAAATGTCCAACAATCCCACATTTGTAGACTTTGGTCCCTCACCTCATCTCTAGAGATTGTGCAAGTTGTTCAAGTCAGAGCTGCCATCATCTCGGCTGTCGGTAGGAACGGTAATAAAATCTCCTTAATTGGAACGAGATGTGTCTAGGCAGAGTCAGAAAACAGAAGAAAATTCTGAATTGTGAGACTTGGCAACCCTGCAGGAAGTTGTGTCTCTGGTGCTCCAAGGGTTTCATTTGGCTGATTTGTGGCAGGCTTATATGGTGCATTCGATTTGTACTCAGATGCTGGAATCTTATAACTCCAAATTAGCACTCCAAGAACACGTTCAATAAATAGGCCATGCATATAAAACTAATTGAAAGTTACATTAATATAGTGGATATCGGCGTTCCCTTGTCAGGGACCAATGCCAGCCGCAAATAGTTCAACTCCAGGAATAGTTGAGACCCCCTCTGGAAACGCTTGGCTATTTTCACAGTTCAACACTAAATATATCTCATTATGCATTAATGTGTACAGGGGAAACCGTTTTAGCACTACCACAGAAGCTAACATCTACAGCAGTCTTCCTTATTTCAGCTTTCTGGGGTACAGCCAATCGGCACCAGTGAAAGTAAATGCAGCCCATGCATTGGCTGCTTTGCAAACGGCAGCCAATAGCATGTCTAGTAGCACTGCACCAGGTTAATCCAGCTTCCCAAACTGCAATTTCCTTTCAAATGTTTTAGATGTGCACCACAAAAAAAAAAAAAGAATACACAAAGTTTCTGTGAATAACTTTGAGTTTGATGATTCCTTATCGACTTAAATCTGTATAACAATATAATAAACTGTAATAAGTACAGAATATTCCAGTCCAGGATTGTCCAGTCCACATTTGCGTTATTCTGCTTATCTGCTTCTAAACCGACCCTAAATATTGAAGATTTTAAACTATGGGCGATCCGATGCAGCCCAGACTCGTCGGCACAACATTTTAAAAGTCTGTTAGCTCTGATAGGAAAATGTGAAGCAGATTAACATTAAAAATATTTCTGAAGTGCTTAAAAACCTTTTGTATCTCGTCTCTGTCAAATATTCTATTTTCTAGTGAGTACCCAAAATGCTCCTGAGTAAATATTTTACATTAGATGTAGGGTTCTTCAGTGTTTCTCTTCAGTTCTTCTTCCGATGAGTGTTAGCATAAAAAAGCAAGTCTCGAACACAGATTCTTGTTGCTAAGCTGAAATTGTCCATTTCATTGCTAATATCAGTAGATCTGCTACTACATCCCTGCTTTAATGTTTACATTTCAGAATGTGCTCCTGCTACATTTCCCTGCAGACAGTTGTTAGCACAGCAACAGCTAGCAAACCTGTCTTTGTTTTCCGGGTGCTCGGCTCTGGGGTCAAGTTCAGAACCATTACTGATGCACAGCTCCTCGTTCCTGGACATATTTTCTGGTTTGGTGTCAATTTACTGCTCAACCTTTGTCCCCTGTAATGGCAGACAAAGTCTTCTTTTGGGGGCACAAAGTAATCTGGTAACATTTGTATTGGTTTTTCTTTAGGTTTCGCTATGAAGCTAAAGATTCACCACAGTGCAGCAACCATATCTAAGACTCTGGAGTTATAGAAATGGGACAGATTCATGGTGGCTGCACATGAAGATGGTAAAAAGGCGGATTTAGTCAGTCAAGCACTTAATGATGACTTTATAAGATGTGACTGGTCTTCTTTCCTGGTTAACCTCACGTTACACTGAACATACAAGGCTGAGAAAACGAATTTTAATTGCTTTTAGTTTTTCTTCTTTCAGTTTTTTTTATCATAAGTTTCAGACACATTTTATTGTTAAAGAAAGTGACTCTCTTTTTTATAGTTGGCATTTGTCCTTAGTTTTACTTTCTTATTGTTGAATCAGGATTTTTTTTTTTTGCAGGTTTCACCATCTGTCTTGAACTTTTTAAGACCATTACAAATTAAATTTTAAACCCTCAATCCACAGAAAAGTCCAAACTTCATCCAGCCAACTGGCGATAAATTTGCACTTATCCACAAGAAATGCAACAAAAGCTAGTTAGCTGTGAATTAGCTGCTAACTAGCTAGTGGCAGCATCAGCTGTCTTGAGTGTCACGCAACGAAGATGTCAAAACATAAAACATACAAAATTTAAGACCTGTGACTAACATATTAAAGGCAAACATATTGCTTAAAACTGAATTTAAGACATTTAAGGCCTTAATTTTAGGTACATAAATTTCAATGTAAAACTTTTGTGGATGGGCGGACATTCGGTGAATCATGTCGTCTTAACTGAGTCGAGTGAGACCTGCAACATGTTGGGCGTTCTGCTTGCTTCTTGTGTGACCTCTCTGGGTTGTTACTGTGCTCTTGAAATAATTTTGATAGGCCAGGAAAGATTCATCACTGTTTTATGTTTGGTTCTCATTTTGGTTCTGCGTTGTCCAGAACCCTTTAAAACGGCTTTGTAATGTCCTTCCCAGAAAGATCGATGTCCGCCACGTTGCCATCATCAAGATCAAGGTATGATATTTCGCTTTTTGACATCTCACAGCCTACTTCATGTTGTCAGACAGGTTCTACATAAGTGAATGTATTGGTTCTACAGATTTGACCATAATTAAGCCTGAGTGTTGCCTGTAAACATTATCTTCATTGATCAAAGAATGGGTCACCAACCCATAGGAATGTGCTTATTATTTTTGACCGCCATAATGTTTGTCCTTGTGCATCTGGAATGCGTAAATGTGACAAAGAAAAAGCAAAAACAGAAAATAAATGTAGCAAATACGTGTAAGTAACAACATTCAAGGTCACCGCGGAGCACCGAAAGTGGAGTGTTTGTTGGCATGCGCGCGACTGGGTCTGTTTAATTGGGTCAGTGCGATCACAAAGCAGCATGGGTGAATGATGTACGGACGGAAGACGATCAAAAGCCCCTTCTCTTCCAGTCCGCGTTGCCTCCAGCCCATCCGTCACGGGCAGGAGTTCGGAGATGATAAACGGCAAACTTCCCGATGGAGATGGGCGGGGAGAAGAGTGTCAGAAGTGTGAATTCTTTCCGCACGACACGCTGAGTCGTTTGAGAGATTGATAGGCTACATTATTGTCCTTTGCTGAGAACGTAAGCACTTAAAGGATAAATCTCAAGAGAGCTCGATGCGTGTGTCACCGAGTATCTGTGAATACACGCAGGTGTGTATTTATGGCTTCTGGCGGCGTCTTTTGATGCTGATGCACGAGTGGCTTCAGATTTATTTACAACGGTGGGTTAACTAGTCATCAGGGTAACACACCTTATCCGACACAAAGTCAAGCACAGGAATCAGCTCACTGTCTGCTCTACATACATACACACACACACACGCAGGCCAGCAGTCACACACATGCAAACACACACACACATCCAGCACATGCAAAATGAATCTCAAGGGCACAGCTAAAGTCAGAGCCGCGGGCCCGAGAACATTAACACTCCTGTTTTGGTCTCTCTTGCCATGCATCACTTCATCCTCTTATCCTCCCCTCCATCTTCAATCTGACGCAATCATCAGCTTTAACACACACACCGAGACACACCTGGACTCATAATTTACCCTGGCTAAATCTTTACGCTGTCATTATCAGATCGTTTTTGTCAAAGGGAGGCTTAAAGCGCCGACCGTCCATCTTGTATTACCTCACAATCATTTGGCGCAGAAGGGCACGACCTCTCAGCTGCAACATGCCGGCACTTATCAGAGGACAACAATACTTCCTGTCTGGAGAGCGTAACTATTTTCAGTTTGATGCCGGCGATGGCTGTGCAGCGGACGAAGAGCGGCTGTTGCGTGCTGTAGGTCAGAAAGTGCGGCGGTGTGGCAGTGGAAGCGATTTGTTACTGGTGCTAACGTGACGCCGCACCGAACAGAGGACAGAGTAAAAATACAGCGGACGTTAAAAGACGAGGGTTTGTGTTTGTGGACGTGTAGAAGGTCTGAAACGACCCTCTGAGAAACATGTCTGTGGTCGATAAGCGATTTATAGAGAATTTGAGAAACTCGTGGTTTAAAGGTCAAGTCGAAGTGAGGTTCTCGGTAACAGGCATTTTCCTTTCAAAGCAGTTCTTTACTGGTTGATTTTCCTTTTACAACCCGAAAGCCAACTTGTCATTACATCAACCAGTCAATCAGGTTTATTTGCACAGCGACAAGGCAGTTAAAAAGTGCTTCACATCATGAAAACATAAAAACACCATAAACACATCATCCAGTCAACAATTGTGAAACCAGTAACAGAGATTTCATTTTGTCCAGTGTCATCATTAAAATCATCAATACACATGAAACCCGTTGGTCAGTGTCACCGTTGTTATGGGACGTCATTATAAACGTCTCACCCAGTAAAGACTTGGTGGAGGATCACGGTGCAGGAAGACATTTTAATGTTATCAGTGTCAGTAAATTGATGTCCTCATCCCATTATGTTAATATATTAACACCATTTCACCGGTTTTGTGAATGAAAAGAGAGATT